GGCAAGCATCTAGTGCCGACCACACACACACACGCACGCACGCAGGCGACCCACGCACTGCGACCACGCACGCACCACGCACGCCACGCACGCCACGCACAGCACACACACACACCGTACACACAGCACACATATATCTGTCTGGATGTACAGGTGACAAGGGACCTATACATGGCAAGACTCTATCCGTTACAATGGTAGGATCAGGAGTGAATAAATGATAGATGCTTTCACGACGACGCCCTGGACATGACTCGGTTCGCACGATGAAAAGATGTCTGTTGTCAGTCGTTGTCTGATTCCCGTCACTATGGTGGGAATTCGTTCAGCCAGATGTGCTGGATGACGGCACATTATATAAACCTATTACAGCCATTAATCAAGCAACGAGTGACTGATGCGTGCGTACGGCTAAATAGCTCGTGTCTGATGCAGGCAGATTTATCCAGCAGCGATTATGTTTGGTATATAAATAGGTTAGAAGCAGCAAACGCTGCATTCCGGTATACGGTATACTCACAGATATAATGCCTACTTTATTGAATTACTTACACGCACGCGAAACCCGCTTTTAAATTTTTTCATTTAATTTCTAACGAAGTTTCGATATTAGTTCGATTATATAGTAATACATGTCGACTAACAAAGTCATAAATACAATTACAGAACCGAGAAAAAATAATATTCACGATAACTTGACAATAATTCTTGTAAAGACCTGATTATCTAACATCACGGGAGATAATGAACGTGAAAAACTTGCATAGACAATATTATCTTGCATGCTAGCGCGACAATTGGGGACAATACGTATGGGACATTCAGAAAGTTTAACCATCTGAAAAGCAATTAAGATAGTCATTGATTTCACAGTTTTTTAATCCAATGTTGGACATCTGAAAGGAGAATACCGACAAGAATTTATATGTTATTTGTTCTTGGGATGATTATGTAATTAAGAAAACATGCCACGATTTCATTTCGCTGGCATCAGCAGTGGCGCAATAAAGACTTCGTGGATTTCTCGTAACTTACCTATTGTCGTGATGACAGTTCCAGCGAAGAACATCGACTGACCAAAGCTCCAGTTGGGCTCCATCGTCACATTACGGATTGCCGACACGCCCCTAGTGTTGGCTCGAATCACCTCCACAATAAACTCTTCCAATTCCTCATCTGCACAGAAAAATTGAGAAAGACATACTCGTCAGTGACACGTCAGTTTCTATAAGACTAGTAGGAATCGACGCTCGCAGGAGTAATGAATGTTAAACACCGCGTAGAGCCGACGTAAGCCGGCTAGCGATTGGGTTCAAACTTTTGGACCGCGTTATAAGAAAGTTCGCGCTATATCGAGTTTATATATGTTGATGTGATTGTGACATGGATTTATGGCGGGGCAGTGCCACCTCATCGAATGAGCGACGGCGCATTTTTGCGATGCGCACCAAATCCCTCGCTGCCACCCTCTTTTTTATTACTTAAAGGGATCGTTTACTCTAGGTTTTGTATGTATGTATGTATGTATGTATGTATGTATGTATGTATGTATGTATGTATGTATGTATGTATGTATGTATGTATGTATGTATGTTTGTATGTATGTATGCATGTATGTGTGTATGTAAAGTGGCTCCAAGGGGACATTGCATTGTGTCACAAGCAACAGCGCATAGAAACAAGAGAACATCGGTGTATGGAGAAGCGAGTAAATGCTGTAGCATCCATCGTCCTGCACGCTCTTTGCTATTATTTGTTGCTTAAACTATGTCGAAGAAACGTAATCCTTGGCAGTTTGACGCCTGGATCTCCATGATCTTCTTAAGATTATGGAAGAAGAAGAAGAAGAAGAAGACGACGAATATAGCGTACGTGTTCTCCAATGTAACCTCAACAATATCTCTCACCCTCTCAACATTAGTGTTCGGTTTGACTCGCACTGTCGATAGCCGCCTCTCCTTCTCCCTTCCGTGCCCTATCTCCCAGCTCTCCCCCCGCTTCAACTATCTCTGTAGCATTCAACCATTTATCGTAGGGAACAAGTTTAGCCTCCCGTAATTGTACGTAGCTAAACACTCCTGAGATGTTCAATCACTATCGGATTTCGCTGCCAACTGCCCCGTCGAATTCTAACGTCATTCAAATCAACGGAGCGACTTCACGCACACACGCGCACACACACACATAGGCTGGTCGGAGACTGGAGATCGAATCTAGCGTCGTTATTACGCTTGTCCGAATCAGTTTACACGCGAAGATTAGCATCGCGGTTAGGTCTAAGCAGCAAGCGTTATCGCGAGCGCAAGGGTGCATCTGTGGCCGAGGCGTCTGTCCTTTAGCGTAGGCGATAGAGCGCATTGCACATTGAAAAATTCTGCCCTACGCATGGGAAAGTATTGATATATAGGCACAGAAACGTTTAGTGCTACACATACAAAAGATATTGGAATTACACAAAGAAAAAATATTGTCTTGGAGAGAGAAAGATTCACTCTAATGCACATGTGATGGCAAGATCTATGCGCGACACACACACACACGCACGCACGCACGCACG